GAGATTCGCTAAGGAGTTCTGAGTACAACTGAAGCATATGAAATGGAAGAGTTTTTAATTAACTTGGATTATTGTGCTAAGCCACTTATTAGTAAATGCAACATTGACGAATTTAATAACCTATTAATTGTGTTTAAAACCTTTTTAAAATTTAATTAAATTTCAAATGCAACATTCCTTTAAAATTTCATTTAATTGATAATTAAAGCAGTAGAAAGGAATTGAAATTTATAAATTAAGTCACAAATATCATAATAGAAATTTTCTAATTAAATTAACTTACCAACGTCGTTTTAATGGAAAGAGAGAAAGAGAAATTCACATATGAGGGGATATATTTAAGGATTGCATTAATCTAGTACATTTTCAAACGGGATTAATAAATTGAAATTTACAATTTAAGTTACAAATAATAGAAATCTTCTAATTAAATTGATAAAATTGTGTTGCAGTGCATTAAAGCATAGTTTAATAAAATTTGTCAGATTAAAGGCGTCAAGATTTGTCAATAGCAGAATAGAAGATTTAAGCTAAAGACATCAACATTTGGTAGCATTACCCAATTGAGTTCTCTCTCTTTTTTTTCTGCGGTATTGATAATAATGGATAGAGCTCCTTTGCCTAGACCACAGAATGGTTCTGGCCCTATCATTCTTGATGCCGCGCCTCTTCTCGCAAGTTTGTCTGCCATTTCATTACCTTGGGTACCAGTATGTCCCGGAATCCATAAAAGGTGCACCTAATTGATCCCACCGAGTGTGTTCAGCTTGTCAATGCATTCCCATACCAGTTTGGATGTTACCTGGTAATGACTTTAATAAAACCGGTAAAAAATTTTTAAAGTAGTGCAAATTTTTAAATGTGAGTACAGAAAAAAAAACTGTAACTGTTATTAATTTAAAATGGAGTGAAAAATAATAATCCGTTACCTGAAATCCACTAAAGCTAATAAAGGAACTGAATTTAAAATTTTGCAAATACAACTGGTGTTTTGAGCACTTAATTTTCAACATTCGATCTGGGGCAGTATGAACACTTCAAGAATTAACTTAATTACATTTCAACGAAATTAAGAAAATTTAGCTGCCTGAACATCGTAAGTATTTTCTCTTTATCTCATTCTTAATTTTTAAATTTATATTGCAATTTTAAATTTCACATATGACGTGAACATTGTCTATTTAATATGTCCTTAAACATTCTTATTGATGAAGTTTATTGAAGTGACTTAACCCTAGAAAGGATTTTTGGTTTCAGACTTCTGCATTCCAGACACAGAGGAAGACTAAAGGAACAGAAAATTGTATTGATATTCAGCATATTTAGAAGTATGGATTTTCAATATCTCTATAAAAGAAATTTTTTTTCCTTATGTGTGAAAAAATAAGATGTGATAGTGACAACGATATATGTAAGTTTAATCGGTATAGACTTGGTATATTTGGAAGTATAGGCTTCCTACAGTTTTTGAAAGTTGCATCTTCATATAGGGGTGAGGATTGTGGATGAACGGAAAAATATTAAAAGATATGTATCAGATAATTTAGAATTTGAGAAACGTGTGCTGTTATTTAGTAAGTTTTGGTTTAAAAAAATTATTGGTTAATGTTATTATCAGAAAATTTCCAACACAAAGTATGGACCACATACGACAACAAATATTTAACATATTATCTTCAGCAAATTTTTTTCTGTTCTATCTTATATAAAAATGAATATATAGAATTATAATAGGTCATTAAGTATATTTCACATTAGAAGCATAAACTTTTGTGGTAAAGTTTTTCTCTTAGAGTCAAGACAAAATGGGCTAATTACCATTTAGAGAAATTGATTTCCAGTTGACGAAAGTTTTTGTGATTCGAATAATTTCCATTTTCAACAAAGTTATCAAAAATTCCTTTGATATATGCCATTCGCAAGCCTGTGTAAGTAATTGACAGGGCACATAATCAACACTGGACGACATCCTTAAAATGATCTAATTGGCAAAGTTTCTGAGTTTAGATTTTGATTCTATGCATTTTTGCCTTATTTTTTTTTCCGAGTTTTCGATTTATTTTGTTAAAAATTTTACAAAAGCAAAACTTTTGAAAGTTTCTTAAGCATAAAATGCAGTAGTAAACCTGAAGGATGCTTAGCTGAATATAGATTGACAAAAACTTTTGCAATTCAGTTACTTTTGCATGAGTGGAACGGATATGCTCATCCGTAATGATATGCCCATACGTCGCAGTTGTGTAGAATGGAAAAGTTTGTCGCTTTAAAATTGCCAGTTAAGTTCAGTAGATAAAATATAAGAGTTCATAAAATTAAAGCTAACATGTGTAATAATAGTTTTGGATGATTTCATCCAAAAATATTTTTTTTTTGCCTATAAATTGGCACCAAACATAAACGATAGATATTTGCCATGTTGAACGATAGTACATCGTTCAGTACGTGAAATGGACATTGTCAATCATTTGTTTCTGTTGTCCATGAGTAACCATGAGGAACTGACATGAAGAAAGGTCTAGGACAGTTAAAAATAAACACCAACACGGCACCGTAATTTTATCGGCAAATTGTGCATTTAATGTATCATTAATCATAGTAGATCGATCCGAAATTGGTAGTTACAGGTGTCATTTTGAGTACAATTTCAATTTGAATTGATATTGGTAACAAGATTAATTGACCTTGTCGTTCTTGTTGTGGAAAGAGTAAAAGAACCGGTAGAGTAATAAGAAAACTGTTAAGAGATATCATAAACCACTAAACATCTACTACATGATAGCTCGGATTTATTTACAAAGCACAGGCTACAAATATGGAGCATTTGGGTACCACATAGGAATATCTATGTTCAAAAGCTCAGCCTGTTACGATGGTTAATTTGATCCTCAACTCGAGGTGTTAAATGGAACAATTAAGAAAGTGCGATTAGAGTAGGCAAACAGAAAAGGATTTTTCTTTCAACATGATATTTTTGTTGTGCTAGACCATAACCAAATCTTTGATGATTCCAAACACACTAAACTTATTTAGTTGGGAAGTTTTGCTACATTCACCTTATAGCACAGACTTTGTACCGTCTGCCTCCCAATTGTTAAAATCTTTACAAAACTACCTTTAGGTAAAATATTTGTCAATCGTTGAGCTGTTGATAATCAGTTGGATTTGTTATTCGCATATATAAATAATAATTCTTCTGTCATACTCATCTTCCAGTGGAGCATAGGAATAGGAATAACCGGGGTACTAAATCCCAACGGAGCGGAGCACTGCGACCTTGTTTAATCTTTTGTGCTGCAACAGACCTTTACCGTACAAAAAACATTGCGTCCTCCGAAATGCTTCCAGTAGAGCATAGATCCTCAAAAAATAGTAGTAATGGTCGATATATACTTGATTTAAAATAATTTTCAATAAACAAAATTTTTATTCAAAAATGTTTAAAAAAAAGAATACTACTCATATCACCCATATCATATCTTATCATATTACAGACGCTACACCTTATTATTGATAACATGTAAAATTTTGACGCTCATTTCTCAAGAAGTATTAAAAATTCCACTTTAAATTTATTTGAACCTTAAGTCCACTCTTAAAAACTTGCAGAAAATCAAGATGAAGGAGGCTTGCTTCATTATTGATTTGCCTAAACTTCTGAGGTTCATGAATAATTCGTTGGAATCACTTAAACTCGCAGAAGTTACTCGTACTGGAACTTCACTGAACAACGCCATTTTCTCGCTTTTATTCCTTTGCAAATTGGCGGGAGTTGGCAGCACTTCATTCATAATATTTGCGTACTTAAGCGTTGCTGCATTAACGCGTACGCACAGATGGTGCGCGACTTTATGGCATAAGAGTGTAAAAGTTCGTGTAAACTTTTGTGTAATTCTGGATTTGAATGCGTTTGTGTGCTTCACTCTTCTGTTAAGTATTCATTGTGTTTTTGTTGTTTCGTTGTTTTTTTTGTTTTTTGTTTTTTTTTTGAGAGTTAAATACTAAAAGTGCCTTCGTTTGCGTTCATTAAATTTTAAAATGTGCAAATTTTGTAAATTTTAATGCCACAAAATAATTTTCTACTTTGGAGTTGCTTTGCCTTTATGTGTTTTTAAGGATTTTCTCTCATTACTTTGCAGATTAAATTTCGTATGTTGCAACATAAAGGATAACGACTTCACTACAAGTGCTTTATTTATTTATTTAAGGAACTGCTAATTGCGTACTCCCATTATCAGCAAATCCAGTCGAGTTATTTGCTCCTTTTAGCAATTAAAAGCACTGCTCTTTTTTAATTCATTTAATATAATTTTTTATTTTTTATTTTATATATCATATTTTGCATTTTGCATTTTGAGTTTGCTTTTATGAAACCAATTTTGTATTTATTGAAGCGACAGAACACACAACACAGAAAGCAGTAAATAGAAAACGTAAAAATCATTTGAGCAAACACAATAGAAAATTGCTCAATAAAAGTGAGGTTAGAGTCTGGCGCTTGTGTAGTTGGTGTGTATTATTGCATCACAGGCAGGACACACAATTAATGCATGAACACTCTTTGCAGAAAGGATTAGCACAACGACTACAGCATAAAAGCTATTCTAAATTAAGCTAGCTTGATCGAACGATGATGGGATGACGCAAGGATTTTGCTTGGAATGATGTTATATTGTCACATTTCCACATCCAGGCGGGCTCAAAAAAATTTTAAAAATGGTACGCAATTTGCATTGCGAGAAGTAAAAATAAAATCGAAAAAGCTTTTACGTGGATTTCCGTTGGGAGATTTGTAGAGGGGGGAGCAAAAAAATTATGGTGGCAATAAGAATTATAAGAATAAATTACACCCAACAAATAAAGTTGATTAAAAGATTTTAAAGACTGGAAAGTTGTCATCTAGAGGAATCGAGACTACTCGTTAAAAGTGGACATTTTATAATTCCTTAAATAAATATAATAAATGAGAAATAAATTTATTTTCTAGTTCAAATTGATTTTATTTATTTCAAGAGATATGGAGAAGCAGCGAGTGGCGCAGCGGCAAGTGGTGCAGCGAATGGAGAAGCGGCAAATGGAGCAGCGAATGGTGTAGCCAAAGGTGCAGCAGCTAAACGAGCAGCAACTGGTGCGGCAAATGGAGTAGCAGCAACAGCAGGAGCAGCTACAACAGGTGCAGCAGAATAAGCAGCTGGAAACGCAGCAGAATGAGCTACGTTGCTTGCAATGTAACTGGAAGCATATGGAGCAACATAAGCAGCACTACCAACAACTGGTGCAGCGAGTGGAGCAGCTACTGGTGCGGCAAGTGGTGCAGCAAATTGTGCAGCAAGTGGTGCAGAGTATGCTAGTGGTGAACTGTAAGCCGCGCTATATGCCAATGGTGCAGCAGCAAGTGGAGCTGCAAGTGGAGCGCCTAGTAAACCTGGTTTTGCTGCAGCCAAAGCGATGACAGCGAAGAAGCAAACTGCGATCTGTAAATATGCAAATATGTTTTATATTCTATCCATAAATTATATTTATTGTTATTTTTTGATTTGAAATATAATTTTTCAAACTTTTATATATTTTTTACTTTGTTTCAACTTACGAATTTGAACATTTTGTTTGTTTTAAATTTGAAGTTGTTTTCTCTTTGAATGATGAGTTAACTTTGATATCGATTTGTGGCCATTAGTTCGCTTTTATACTCAAAATGGGTCTTGACAATGCATTGGTTGAGTTTCGTTTTGCAGAAGTGACCATCAAATTTGACTTAAAATGCAAGAAACGTTGGCATGAGCAAATTTCTTGAAGTCTTGGTTGGGTAAGTGAGTATTTAATTGATTGGCGTTAAAACTATGAAGTCTATTACTAAATAGATTTTATATAATTATTTTAAAAATTGTTTTATATTAAATGGGTAATATAAATAAAATAAATTAATTTAGCTAACTTGAAAAAATTGCATAGATTAAAAAATTAGAAATGTAATATATTAAATGTAATATAAAATTTGTTTTTATTCGATTAGATTATTATTCATTGATTAATATTAATATATTAAAAAATTCTTATTATTTTCCAGCACTGATCTGCTGTAATCTGATCAGCCTTAATTAGTGGTGCTGAAAAGCATTGATAACTTCCTTAACATATTTAAAGCATCCGCGGATTTTTGGCACAATTTTGAGCAAAAATTTTCTTTATTGAAAATCAATTAAATTTAATGTATATTGGCCATTACAATTCATGATCCCTTGTCAGTTTTATAATTCCGTCTGTATAGAACTTTTATGGTTAATCGACGAAAAACTTTTCAAACTTTACATTTTCTTGAATATTTCATTAAAGAGGTTAAGTTGAAGCGACATAGATAACTGCCTTTCAATTCCATAAACGACTCAATAAAGTGTTTACCGTCAATCCACATTTTGAAGTCGTTTAAGAAGGGTCATTGGTCTATGATCATTATCGCATGCATAGAATATTCTAGTATTTGATATATGTTTCATCGCACGTAATGATTCGCTTCAAAATTGGTTCAATTTTTTTGCGTATCAGTAGCGAGTCTTAATGTATAATAGTGCTTCCGCTATATTTTTAGAGCCTGCATATCGGTCCTGTTCTACCAGTTATAAAATTTTATCGATTTTGACATCGTTGACATCGAAATTTATGGAATGAAATCGAGCACACCATTCCTGGATAACTACTCCAGGAGATACAAGATATTAACTCGCATTTCATCAAGCAAAGAAATGAAAAGATAAATCGGTAATATTTGTAAATTTGTCAAAAATAAAATGAATAACGATGTTGAGTTTTATAGATATGTGGAAATGATAAATGGATTTTTTCATATCCAATAATACAGGATCTCAAACAATATCAAGAATTTCTCTACATTACAGGTTTGTTACGGGCTTAAACTCTCCGGAACTTATATAGAAACAAAAAGAATCAACAGACCAAACTAGACCCCAGGTATTGCAGTAATTACCTAATTAATCAAACCGACGTAATTACACATATTTTAAAGAATTGAAAAATTATCTTAGGATAAGACAATTATTTTTATATATTTGATAGAAGAAGAGATCTTCAAGAATTTTTCCACCCGGAAAGTAAGTAAGTCTATGCAAGTTTTTGGCCTTTATAGTTCCATAATTTATTTATTTATCCTAATGTTTAAGATTGTTATATCTCACTTCTATTAATATTTTTCTCTGTGAGTGTTTCTTAGTTGCTATCAATTACATGAATATGATGTGGCCATAAGTAAGGTTAAACATAAGTGTCATTTGTCCCGTACTTGGCAATGAAAATCAGCACAATTCCATATGAGTATTAGTCCTTCGAGTACCACGCCCCGAATGCCACTTAAACGTATTTTTAAATGCAGGAGCATGAACATAAATAATAAGGTGAAAACATGATGAAACAAAAACATTTGACAACGTGTCGAAATACTCCATTTTTAAAGGCGTTCGAGTTTGTTCAGCCTTAACGAGCAAACAAACGCTTTAAAGTCTCTGAACTGGCGAGAAGTACCATTTCTGTACAGCTTTCTCCATCCAGTCCTGAACACGCCACCCTCTGCGGCATTCGATTTGAAATGAGCACATAATATCCTTTTCAGACAGCATCAACCAACAGACCGAGACGCAAACATAGCCACAGACAAAAGTGCAGCAGCAAAGGCAACAGCCAAATGACAACTTTGCATGTCAACATGCTGCATTGAGTGGCACTGCATTTCCGCTGCAGCATTTCGAATGCAGCAAAAGCAGCACACAGACAATGCCACATGCACAAAGTGCAATCTAATTTCCTATGCGTTCACTTTTTGCTGATGCAATTTTTCAATTATTTGAGGTTTTTTTCTTCTGCAATTTTATTAATAAAATAATTTAATATTTTGCTGGTGTTGCATCAAATTTGAAATAAGTTTTTTCTTAATTGGGATTTTTAGAAAAAGATTTACGCATCAACACTCTCTCCAGTTTGAAGTATCATTATGTGCATTCGTGTGTAGTTGGCCATAGTGTGTGTAGGGTGTGTGGTTTGCGGTGTGCGGTGTGCGTATTCTCATATATTTAATATGACATACTCGATATTTTCTAATTAGTGTTGTTGGTGCCTTGCAATTACAGTTCAAGTGGTTAAATGAGTGTCTTGCATGTTCTTTTTTTGCGCTATCCAGAAATAATAGGGCGTTTTGGTTCTCCAAATAAGCATAAAAACTTTTCAATACGTATTAGTAAGGTATTAAATGTGTAGGTTTTAAATGTAATAAAAATGTTTTGAAAAACAACATAGAATTATATTAATTGTGTTTAACCTTACCGACTTTACCGTAACTGTACCTTACACTATGTAGTAATCCGATATTTTCTGTGATATTTCGATGAGAGCAAAAAGTATCTTTTATATCCAAATTTCCATAAAGACAGCAAATACACCATTTCCTTAAGTGTATTCCATTAGAGTGCCTTTGATGAAAACGGAACCACACAAATCATTACATATCTTTGAAGCATTTTTTCTTTATAGTAATTAGCAAATTCAATCGTGTTCTCACGTATCAGTGCCTGCAGTTACTTTAAATATGAAGATGAAATTGATATCATCCAATGTCTAATATCATCCAAAAGCAAAGATATAACTAACCATTTGAGGAGATCAGAATGGGTAAAAGATATGCCCAATGGAAGAGTTGCTAGTTTTCTAGCTATCATAACCAATAACCTAACCATTTCAAACTTAAACTGAAGTGAATAAAAAAACGCCTAATGTTTTGAAGTCAATTTAATATAAATATTCAATATATTAATAATTGCTCTGAAGTAACTTATAAAAAAACAATAGTTAGTATAGCTCGCCTCCTTCTTGCAAATACTAACTTTTCTCGCTTTATACTAACTTTTGAAAGAAGTAATAACTTGGTATAGCACTACTCCTACTGGTAATTTTAAGGGCTTTACAATAGTCATCCAGTATGAGGGTGTTGTTTGCACCAATGCGTGCCTTTTAAGCCTAATCGAATATTTATAAAAGGTTTATGATTAGTAAACCACACAATACCATCACAACAATTAAAATAATTATAAGAAAATATTTACAACTCGTAGTTATTTCATATAGTTTCATCTCATTTTGTGTTGATAGTACGATTCTACAGTGGCGATTGAAGCAAACTTTATATAAGTGTTACTTATGTGACATTTACATAAGATCTAACGTTTAATATAATTTTTTTATTAAACATACTAAATGGTTTATATAATCAACTATATTGGCTGAAGTTATACTTTATGATAGATTTAAGTAGTATAAGTACGGCTTAAGTATATGTATAAGAGCGTATATGTGGCTAGAGATGTACTTAAGACTTAAGTTACTGCTATATAATCAACTCGAAGGTTTCCAGTTTTATTTAAAGTTTATAAGTTCAATGCTTTTATTTAAATATTAATACAACACAAACATATTGGAACTCAAAACACCGAGTGTAAGGTATACACATAGTCTGAAAAAGTTGTCTTCTGCACTTGTGGTGTGTGGTGTCAACACTGCAATCTTAAATGAAATTTAATTAATTCTGATTGAAGTCATTTGCTGAGAGTACAAGACTCAAGAGATTTTGCTAATTACGCATATTTGAGGCGTAACAAATGCTACAAATTGTGGATATTCAACACTAAGGCAAAGTATCTTAAATTATAAAAATATCTGTATTAAAATCATAGACCAAGTTTTTGAAATATTAAATTGCTTATATTTAATAAAATAAAAACTGAGTTAAAATTTGAAATATTAAGAAAATCTTCATTTGCAGAATATACATCAGAGCTTTTGGAGTTAAAAAATGTTGTGCAAGGTCAGGGCTATTGGACAGTCCATAAATTGACTAACTGTATTTGATATGCTAACAACGATTGCCGACTTAAGTGTTACCAAATGCGTAAGTGAATAGCGTTACCCGCAGCATAATTAAAATTCCCAATTTATTTTATTTATTTTCATACGAAATTAGTGGGTACATTTGTCGTGCATGTGTCTTGCATATTTAATGCATTTGAGTTACACAAATTAGCCATGAAATACTTTTTGTATTGAAATCAGTTATATTATTGATCTACCAGAAATGGTATAAAAGTGCAGTTGAAACCGTTGAACTGGTATCAAACACACTTTGTAGTTTTTCATAAAACAACCTAAACAAACTCAAACCAAACAAAATGTTCAAATTTGTAAGTTCTGTTAAAGGATACTTTATAAGAAATTATTATTAAATAAATATAAATTCCATTATAGATCGCAGTTTGCTTCTTCGCTGTCATCGCTTTGGCTGCAGCTAAACCAGGTTTACTAGGCGCTCCACTTGCAGCTCCACTTGCTGCAGCACCATTGGCATATAGCGCGGCTTACAGTTCACCACTAGCTTACTCTGCACCACTTGCTGCACCATTTGCTGCACCACTTGCCGCACAAGTAGCTGCTCCACTCGCTGCACCAGTTGTTGGTAGTGCTGCTTATGTTGCTCCATATGCTTCCAGTTACATTGCAAGCAACGTAGCTCATTCTGCTGCGTTTCCAGCTGCTTATTCTGCTGCACCTGTTGTAGCTGCTCCTGCTGTTGCTGCTACCCAATTTGCCGCACCAGTTACTGCTCGTCTAGCTGCTGCACCTTTGGCTACACCATTCGCTGCTCCACTTGCCGCTGCTCCATTCGCTGCACCAGCTCCTTTACTCTTCAAGTAAGGACTTTCTATGTAGACTTGGCAAACTGTGATTGAAAATTGACTTTTTAGTTATGTAAAAATGTTAAAAATTACAAATAAATAATAATTTCGAAAAATATTTTGTATCCATTAAAACATTATTATTTGTTTATCATATAAAATCAGTTGATCCCCGAATTTATCTTTAATCGACAAAACTCATTTTGCTTTGAAAAAGTTTAGTTTTTGATGGGTTGACTTCTGTATTTTGTTGTATCGTCAAAGAAATTTTTTATTATTATGTCCTTTTGGATTGCAAGTATCAGGTTCTTACATTATACTTAATAAAGAGTGGGTATGCATGTATGTAAATTTATGACTGGCTTCCACATTTTAAAAGCATTTCCTGATATTTCGATAAACGTTCGTTCCGCTTCAGATTTTTTACATGAAACGAAATTAGGATTCTATATTTTCGTCCTTGTGAATATTTTATTAATATTTGTTAAGGTTTTAAAAAAGAGAAACAAGTTTAAAGTTAGTTGGTATATCAATATTTTGTTTAAGTAGTTCAGAGAAAAATGGAAGAAATATTTATAGAAATGATCAACAATACCTTTTGCAGTGAGCTATTTATATATTTATTTAATAATATAAATAAATAATTAATATATTTATGTATCCTGACAGACGACTGAAGCTATGTCCGTACATTTCAAAAATAACTATTTTCTTTAATTTAAATTATATTATTCTTAATTAATTTAAGAATAATTAAATTATTCTTTAATTTAATTTATAAAGTTTAGTTTAATATAACACAAATAATATAATTAATTACAAATAATATATTATAATACAAATAATATGATATAATATATATGTATCTAAATAAATAAAGAAATAATTAACTAATTAACTAGCAATTTAAATATTTAATAAATTTACAGTAACTTTGAATATATATAAGATCTTATTTAAAGATTAATTAAACCCAGTTGTCAATCTATTTTTTTCTCCATCTCCTTCAACAATCTATCATCTACCATCCATCCCAACAATACTTATCGTATGTACTTAGTACAATATCACTAGAATTAAGTTCAAAAAAATAATGTAGGTATATACAATAAATAAATTCATGTAATTGTCTTTTAAAGTTGCTTTATTGAAAATATCCTAGTTAGGTTAGATTAGGTTGTACCGGCGTTCAATTAGACCTATTAGATGTTGTGTTGCCGTATGGGAACTCACAGGTCTAAAATCATCTTGAACCTGCGGCATAGTCTTAAATGCTTTTTAAAGAAGACATCTGGAACTCGAAAGATACTCGAAAAAGTTAATCCCTAGCATAATCAATCGACGCAGTGTTTTACAGTAATAAGATTAGATTAGGTTCGGAAAGCGGGTGCTGACTCGGAGGCCACTTGGAGGCATATATTGCTCATTTTGATGCCCTCAGAAAAATTTTGCCGGGAGAGACGAGTTGCTAACCTTAGTAAACCTTGTTAAACCATTTGGTTTTTCAGATGAAGTTAAGGAGGTCCAATAAGTTTGCAGGTTTGCTAAAGTCTAAAAGGCTTTTCGTTTTATTTTTGTCCAATCTAGGCCATGAGGTTCTAGCGACCTCACAGTCTTCGCAGTTAGCCCATAAATTGTTGGTCACCGTCTTGGTTATTTCCCCTATTATCCTTAACAGTTCACATATCGGTATATGAACCTCTTCTGACCATCTCATCTACTAGTTCATTCCTTTCAATATTGCTACGTCCAGGAACCCAACAAAGAGAGACCTTGTGATGTTTGATGCTCATCAGTGAGCGACATTTCAATACAATCTTGGATTTACAGTAATAAAGGAGAGATATCTTTATCGTTCGTCTCATAATTGCAATAGGAATAATTAAACAGGAAATTAAATCTCCTAGTAGAGTTTCTAGAATCTTAATGAGATTGCTAAATTTTTTCTTGATAGAACGTGGCCAAATTGCATTCAGATGTTTGTATATCGTTGAGTCTTCCCAACTTATGTTGAATTGCTATTTAATTCAATTTAAATTTAAAATTTCAATAACTGTTTACATGATGCCCACGGTATGCCCAGATCCTTCAAATGTTCGAAATGATTACCTAAAGTACTCTTTTTAGCCAGATCTACAATAGTTTGTATATAATTTTTTATATTATAATAAAAATAATTTGTAATATTTTTAAGCTCCTTGATGATAATTATTTAAGGAATAAAGTTTTTGATAAATTTAAAATTTACCACTTTTAAATTCGCATTCCAAGCATTTCATCTGAGATTTAATTCAATAGGTCGAATTAAATATGAAAGAATATGAAATTATTCCCAAGTTACTCCAAAGTTATTCCAAAGAAGTTTTGAACTTTTTTTGAATAATTCAAAATATTTAAATAATTTTTTATTAACTTTAAATAATTTTGTAAGTAATTAAATATTAATGTTTACTTGTTGAGTATCAAGAAATCAAATAAAAATCAATTTGGTCCGCTTGAAGTATTGAATTTTGGTTTGTATTTTTGTTTTTTGAATACAAAATTTTTTAAATTAAAATTTGAATAGCCTTTGTCTATGCATATTTACTTCAAACAATTCATGAAATCCAATTCTAACACTTCAGGGGTTTAGCATTCAAAGCAATCAGAGGAGCTGCGGAGGAAGCAACAGATTCGATAATAAGAAAATACAAAATTCAAGTTTTCAAATTGAATCCAAATTTGATTTGATGGGAATACGAATAAGAAAGAGATTACTTTGTGCACTACCAATAGGTTACTTGCACCCTACAGACAATATATAGAATCATTTGATACCATTGAATTGATATTGTTACAAATTACTAATGAGATACAAAGTTTATGGGTATCTTACCTTTCAGAGATGGATATATAAATAAGGTAAATGGAATACTTTAAAGCCAAGACATTGTATTAACTTTTGCTTTGATATTAACTCGATAAAGGTCATATTGGTATATTTTGTGGAACATAATAACAGAATAATCTTTTATAATCATAGCTTGACTTTATAGCACAGTTTAAATGTGAAGTATTTTAATATAGCACTTCATAGGTGTATTAATTATAAAACACACATTCCAGGAGAGACCTTTAACAATAAACTGGTGGAAATAAACCTTCTGGTAACAGAATCAAATTAAGTTTCCTATCTGATATTTATATCTAATCCTTAATATTGCATTCGGTTATATTTGAAAATGAGATTGGTTTTTTTGTACGGTTGTCCACCATGATTTACTATTAAAATATTACTAGAATAATTCGGGTATCTGAGGAGGTTTTTGAATACTGAATTGAATACCAATTTCTGACATTGTTTGGAATGAATAGATGAGGCTATTCAACAAGAACTAAAACTACTTTAACAATATTGTTTTAGTTACTTTAATAGTTCGTCAAGGAGCAGAATATACAGAAACCAGTTATAGTGTTATGAATTCATCTTAATATATTGCTTTACAGTCTCTTGGGTCATGTGGTAAAATATCTTTCTTTGTGTTTGACTTACAAAAAGACTTTTTTTACTTTTTTTGTAGTATTTAATATTTTTTAAATAAAAATCTCTATCATTGCGAGTTAAAAGTACGAGATGTTCGGTTATAAAGAAATATAAAACGTTAAAGCAGCAGATCAACTAATTAAGAAAGGAGTTGTATTAGAAAATTCACTTATGGCAGACGTTTCCAGAAATTTATAATCCAACATAATACAAATATCGGTTTATGTATAGGCAAGCAAATAGAGTATAATTGCAAATACTAAATTGCCAAGTTAAGGTAGGTAATACTACATAAAATTTGTAAAATACTTATTTTTACTGTCAGGATTAAAAATGGGTTTGATCTATAGTGATATATACAGAAGCTGTAGCATACCGAATTAATATGAAACTATGTAGCTTATTATTTAACAATGTCAAGCATCGATGAAACTGACATAAAAATATCTAGACGATCCATGGTCCATGAGTCATGTTAAATGGAGTTGTAGACTGCTGCTATTGGTTAAGAACTTGCCAGTCTTCTTTGAATGAGTAATGTCGCTATTTACGTAAATAATTTTTTTTTCTTATTATTAATAACATTAAAAATCTAGTTAACCTGTGTGAGACTCTTTCGAGTCAGCCAGTCAAATCTAGTCGAACTTAGCTTTATATCAGTTATGCTACTAGTCTAAAGGCAGATCTCTTCAGTACACTAAAATCTTATTTAATATTTAGTATGTAGCAACAGCGATGTACCTTAGTTTTCATGGTGGAATCGTGGTGAATATGTGACGTTTCTACTAGTTTTTTTAAACTTATAGCGTAACAGATTTGGAGCACTCTCTTCATCTGCTTTCACGGGTCTTTATTTTTTAGATGCTTTTTTAGATTATTTTTGATCATTATGATGTTTTGGCTGGTTGGTTTTAGTGGCAGTGGAGCTTCTTCTTGTGGTTAAAAATCTCAGTTTTAAAACTAGTTTTCGCGGTTGATAAAATTAGTTAGTTTTTGAAAATTTATGTTTGGGATCTTCTCTTTAATAACAATTTCTTTAATAACAATTATAGTTTTGACAATTATTTTCTTTTCTTTAATATCAAGTATATGACTGACAATTCTTCTGTTCTGTTCAATATCAATTATAGTTCTGACAATTTTTCTCTTTTCTTCAATATCAATTATAGTTCTGACAATTCTTTTCTTCCCTTTATAATCAAGTATAGTTCTGACAATTTTTCTCTTCTCTTCAATATCAATTATAGTTCTGACAATTCTTTTAGAGTATGTACGTGAAACTAACAATCCTTATCAGAAAGTATAAGAAACGAAGTCACATGAACTGAGGCAATTGCTTTATATGCAGACATATTTTCCCTATCTATTTCTCTATCGAATTCTGCACATATCTACTGTTTCAGTGTAGGGTACATAATATAAAATTTTGAATGAAATGAATAAAAATTGAATTTACTTTCAGCACAATTTTACGATTTTTTAACACAACAACATGA